CCCCACCCCCCCAAAAAAACATAAAACAGGATTCAAATCGCTTTAAACTATTGTCATTGTAGTGCGTATTTAATGTGGTGCTGCACTCTGATGTTGTAGGAGAAAACATTTTTTAAAAAAGTCTATCTCATTAAGTAGAACGTGTTGTCTATATTTATTTAAAGTTGCGCATTTTGATGTGACGTCACATTTCTCAAACCCCCCCCCCCTCGTCACACATCGTCACAAATGTCTGACCCCCCCCCCCAAGGTGCGTGACGTCATTTATGGACGGCCCCAAAGCGGACGCTGCACGATGGCCTAACGTGGCACTAACCTACGACGCCTTGAACACACCCGCAGCTGATGTACTTGTGGCTTTACCTTTTTGTTTCAGTGGAAAATAATGATATAACCTTCAGGGTGGTCAACAAAAACGCTGCCTTGCGATCAGTAATTGAATGTTCCGCGGAAAAGAACTGGAAGCAATAAGAAATACTTTTCTCTGTTCACCGTTCACATAACATTTGGGAGCATTTGTTGTGTGCCACATTTAGGAACATTAACGTGCAATAGTGAAAAGGGATTTGTTTTCCTCCTCGGCATCAATAACCATGTTAGCACCGTCGCAACTGGAATCACATAATTACGGTATCTCCATAATCATCACCACTCTGACGAGGCTAGCATCACCATCCTAACGAGGCTAGCATCACCACCCTAACGAGGCTAGCATCACCATCCTAACGAGGCTAGAGTCACCACCCTAACGAGGCTAGCATCACCACCCTAACGAGGCTAGCATCACCATCCTAACGAGGCTAGCATCACCATCCTAACGAGGCTAGCATCACCACCCTAACGAGGCTAGAGTCACCATCCTAACGAGGCTAGCATCACCATCCTAACGAGGCTAGCATCACCATCCTAACGAGGCTAGCATCACCACCCTAACGAGGCTAGAGTCACCATCCTAATGAGGCTAGAGTCACCACCCTAACGAGGCTAGCATCACCACCCTAACGAGGCTAGCATCACCACCCTGAAGAGACTAGCATCACCACCCTAACGAGGCTAGCATCACCATCCTAACGAGGCTAGCATCACCACCCTAACGAGGCTAGCATCACCACCCTAACGAGGCTAGCATCACCATCCTAACGAGGCTAGCATCACCACCCTAACGAGGCTAGCATCACCATCCTAACGAGGCTAGCATCACTATCCTAACGAGGCTAGAGTCACCATCCTAACGAGGCTAGCATCACCATCCTAACGAGGCTAGCTTCACCACCCTAACGAGGCTAGCATCACCATCCTAACGAGGCTAGAGTCACCATCCTAACGAGGCTAGCATCACCACCCTAACGAGGCTAGCATCACCACCCTAACGAGGCTAGAGTCACCACCCTAACGAGGCTAGAGTCACCATCCTAACGAGGCTAGCATCACCACCCTAACGAGGCTAGCATCACCACCCTAACGAGGCTAGCATCACCATCCTAACGAGGCTAGCATCACCATCCTGACGAGGCTAGCATCACCATCCTGACGAGGCTAGAGTCACCATCCTAACGAGGCTAGCTTCACCACCCTAACGAGGCTAGCATCACCACCCTAACGAGGCTAGCATCACCACCCTGACGAGGCTAGCATCACCACCCTGACGAGGCTAGCATCACCACCCTAACGAGGCTAGCTTCACCATCCTAACGAGGCTAGCATCACCACCCTAACGAGGCTAGCATCACCACCCTGACGAGGCTAGCATCACCACCCTAACGAGGCTAGCATCACCACCCTAACGAGGCTAGCATCACCACCCTAACGAGGCTAGCATCACCATCCTAACGAGGCTAGAGTCACCATCCTAACGAAGCTAGCTTCACCATCCTAACGAGGCTAGCATCACCATCCTAACGAGGCTAGCATCACCACCCTAACGAGGCTAGCATCACCACCCTAACGAGGCTAGCATCACCACCCTAACGAGGCTAGAGTCACCACCCTAACGAGGCTAGCATCACCACCCTAACGAGGCTAGCATCACCACCATAACGAGGCTAGCATCACCATCCTAACGAGGCTAGCATCACCATCCTGACGAGGCTAGCTGAAGCTGAAACACTGTGGTCTTAATCTGGATTTACTCGATTGGATTCGGTAAGAGCAGCAGTAGCGTCGTCATCATCATTGTACTTTCTCACCCATTTTTTACGGAAAAGCTGATCCGCAATAAGGTACATTTGAAACGTCGTGATCTATTATAATTTTCTTTACCGAAAGAACCAAAGAGTATAAAGTACATTTGAACGTAAACCCTGAAACTGCCCCCATTATTCCGGAGCCTGCCATCCAGTGGGGTTGTTGTTTTGTTGCTGGCCTTAGCCTTCAGGTACAATTATAATTATCAGAGTTAATTGAATGATTTACAGGTCTCCCAAGCATATTTGCATATAATCTATTAGTGGAGGCTGGCAAAGCACCCTTTCGAAGCTAAGAGGATTATGCCAATCAGTTATCGAGACACACGCTGGGCTGATGCCAACAAGGGGGAGAGTTATTGGCACCGAGTGGGGTTGCTGCAGGGCAATATAAATTGGCTGGCGAGCTTTCGGCAATAGAAGTTTGAGATGAATCTGACAGCCCCCCTTGTCAAATCGAAGCTAGTGACTCAAAAGGCGATTTGGTATGCGAGATCCCCCCGTGCGTTTTCTGGTTGTGCTGCGTGCAGTTTCCGCTTCGCTCCAAACCGCCGTGAGCTCCTCCGGCAACCGAATTTTTCCGTACGACAGCGACGGCCTACAGGAACGGAATTTCAGTTTGCCGGAGAAAGCTCTCCGGGCACGCGCAGGGAAACATCAAGACATTATTATTATTATTGCACGGCCGGCACACAGCCCGAACGCACACGTCGCAGGGACGTGCGATGCCAGTTTTGCATCGAGAAGAGCTCGCCTGTTTATTCGTACTGTCGCACTCACGTGAATAACGGCTTCATAGATGTTGCACGGTTGTTTCAACTCAATCCTCCAATTTCCCCCCTTTAACATAGATTCACCGTTTCCCCAGGGGTGGCAGTGGACGGGGGGGGGGGATGGTTTTGCCCCGATGTCCTGGAGGCACAGATAACTAAATTTGGCAGCGGCTTGCCTGCTCCACGTGGCTGAGCGCTTGTTAAGGAGCTCAAGAGTTACATTCCTAATTGGTTGACAATACTCCATGCAGAACAAAGAGGACGCTGTATCTTAACTCTTGTGATTACCCAACCACGTGCCGTATCCCAAGGACACTCACTGGGCGTGATGCGTATAATATAACACAACCGCAAAAAAAAACTATTTATTCCGCTAAAAGTTTCTCTACCCGAGGCTGATAAAACAACGGACAGCTGGTGAAGTTAACACGGTGGTGGGGGGGGGTAGAAAGCACGCTAAGAAAAGACAAACAGCGTGGGTAGGTGTGGACCGGAAGAGATGCGTACGAACTGACAACCACCACATACAGCAGTCTCGTGAACATCCATCTGGCGGGGAAAGTCTCGAGCATTTGGCAACCATATCTCTCGGATGTGACTCAGGGTTGTGCCACGTCTAGAAGAATTCTCCGAGCGAGTGGGAGCGAAACGTTGGACATCGCGCCGAACGACGCGCTACTACACTCCCGCGGTACAACCCAAACAACGCGTGGGCGGAGTGACACAGGGCGGCAGAACCGCGAAAACCCGCGCAGCAGATTTGAGCAACTGGCTGGGGACAGCTCCGCATGCAACCGCAGACAGAGAATAAAAAAATAAAAAAATCCACGTTCGTAATGATACACAGAAGGGCATAATTATCAGACGTTTTAGAATACGCTGTGACAATGTGCACGAAACGAACTTCACCCATCGCCATCCCAAGTGTGGATTTAAAAAAAAAGCCAGTGCGTCCGAGTACATCCGACAACGTTGCTACTTTACGAGCATTTTCTCCCCCATCAAGAAAGCAGGAAAACGTGGTAAAGATGCAAATTGTAGTCCTAAAGGATTGACACGCTATGCCCAAGTAAAAAGGGTACTCCATTATTACAATAATGATTGCACACAAGTGAGTAAAATGTACATCCGGAATTGCGGAATTTCCCTTGTGTAGAAAACGGATAAATCTACTTGACTATTTTTGGCTTGTGAGTGCAGTGCCCGTAAAATATATTACTGCCATTATTCTTTATCAAATAATGCCCAATGAGAAAAAGAATACGTATATATATAAGGAGTTAACATCGCAAACAATGCCCCTTCATACTCGGAGTGGTGGTATGCCTGTAGCTCAAAGTTAAAGACTGCACCAAACTTTACCGCTCACAGCATCGCACATCGGGCAAGTACATTTACAGCGAGCGATCACCCAAATAAAAAATGTTGAAAGCCGATTAAGAATAAAAATCACGCACACTCCGTGGATTAAGTAATGATTCCCAACATGCTCTTTTCAGTGTTCAGAAACATTTCATTATCAGAATAGAAGCTGGCGGGAGAGCCGTCAGGGGAAAAAAACAAAACATCTTTTCATAATTGAAGATACGCACTAGACATGGAACATTTTGGCAATGTTGGTCCAACGGTTCCAACCAAATGCCAACATTAGCCTAATGTTGTTGGCATGTTTACTCGGTAGTCCTTTTTGGTCTGGATTCTCTTCAAGTTTTCGGCAACCCTTCGATCAATTTTGGGCAGTTTTTTTTTTATACTAAGGGCGAGTCCGCAACAGGAACACAACCTTTACTTTTTTTAACGAAAATTTAACTCGCAATGGAATTGTCGTTGAGCGCTCGAGTCACCGATGTCCCCTTCCGCTACGGGTGGACAGACGTATGGACGGACGAGCTAACGCATTTGCCACTTTCAGCCCTTCTTTGGAGAGCGTTAACGAAAACACGCCGCATGCCCAAAGCGATCGATCTACAACTCCATTAATTCTTAATCGCCGGCGGCGTCGACGCCGGCAGCAAACGGAGCGCAGGTTCAATTGAAGCCTCACCTTCCTCGACGTCGTTCCGGGCGGCCGACTCCAGGAGGGTGACGCTTGGCGTGAAGCGCAGGCCGAGCTGCTGCCCTCCGTCCCTGCCCTTCTTGCCGCCCTTCTTCGCCTTCTTGGCCGAGCCGCCCGACTTCTTCTTGGCGCCCTTGCTCTGCTCCTCCTTGTCGTACTGCATCCAGCGTCGCACCTGGTGAACCCTCTCGCGCTGTGCGGCGCGCGCTCTCTCCTGCCCCGAGCCGCGTGGCATCGCAGCTGCTGCCTCCCCAACCTCGCTTGCCGAAATCATGGCTTTATACGAGGGGCGTTTTTTCTCTCTCTCTCTCTCGTGCGTTCAAATCCCCGCCTCGAAATTCAACTCCGCCTTCCCCCCCCGTGGAGTTTTTTTTTCGAATTCTTCTTCTTTCGTCGCTCTTCACGTCACCCACTCCCCCCCCCCGGTTGTTGTTGCCGCCGCCGCCGCCGCCGCCGCCGGTACGGTTCGTTAACGTCGCACGGTTTTTGTTGTCGCTGCCGTTATTATTTGATGCGTCCTTGTGCCAGGAGTCTTTGCTTTGGCTGTCATTGTTCGAACCGCGCTGGGCACTGCGCCCACATCCCGCCGTCTATAACCCCCCCCCCCTACAACTCTTTGCGAACGTGCCAACCACAACGTAGCACTCCACTGCTGGAGTGCCCTATTCCCGTCGGCCTCCCCACTGCACCAAGCCCATCCAATTCAATAGCGAGGAGAGAGAGAGAAAAAAATCACTGCTAGCCGGCGGCGATTCAATTAACCATTTACTAGCACGATGGGCTTTTGAATGGAACAACTATATTTTTTTTATGTGAATGGATGGCAAATTGCTAAGGATCCCTGGAGATTGTGAGCGGCACGTTGCGCAGCTCTTAAACGGGGGCCGTTGTAAAATCTTTCAGAGGTGCGACGAGCCGCCCCTGCGGTGCGACGGGGTCACCGCACGAATACGCGTGACTGCAATCGTTTTTTTAAATATATATAAAGGTGCAGCCCTGCAATTCCCTGCTGTGATTAAATCACATTCAAATTAATGCTAACGAAATGTGTGCATTAAATTGGCATGGGGGTGGCTTGGTTTTCTTCTTGCTCCTCTCGTGGTTATTCTATCGTCGCGTTTTCAAAGCGGCTTTGTTCGTCACGTTCATCCTTTTCTGTTCACTTGGGCGCGAGGAAAGCATTGATTAGCACCTCGCGGAGAACGGTTCAAATTGCCACCTGTCTCTCCCGCGAGGAGACGCTTCAGCCTTCGTCCAGAGGCACTGCTCCAATCACATCTGCAATTAACAGAGGCAGGGGCATTAAACACAGACATGAGGCGAACTAAAGAAAAAAAATAACCGCATTACGTCCGCTGCCGGTCACCCGTTCCAATGGTGCGTAAAAAAGGTGAACGCGCAGCTCTGCAATTGCTTGCCCACACCACTGCTGGCAGAAGGTCCACCAATTTAGGACGCTCTAGCGAGCTCCTCTCGATCAGTGGTTCTTAACCTGGGGTGCACGCACCCCTTGGACGGGGCGAGATGCCCTTTCCGGGGGTGTGAGACATGGCCAGATTGTTCTAGAAGGTAAATAATTGAAAACGCAAATTGAGCGCGGGCACGAAAGTACAACTACTTTGTATCATAAAGCCTCTGTCTTTATTAACACTATACACTTTTTAACGATTAAGAACCAAAGGCATGCAAGGCTGCAGGAAAGGTCAAGAGCCACTGCTCTCGAGTGTTATTTTGGTAGATCTTGGATTGCGAGCCACGGGTGCTCACCAACTATTACACCGTGCCAGCAGTCCCATTCCAAGAGTGTTGAGAGTACGCGCGTGTACATGCACGTGCGCGGCACTTCCGTCACCGCAGCTGATTGAGGACCTCCACCAGTCATCGCGGGGGGGCTATCTGACCGCACTCCATCACGCCGGTCAACGCGGTACAGTACAATAACGGATCTTGCAAGCAATGTCCTCTGCTGTCCACCACGTGGCCCAGCAGTCTATAACACTTGTCGTCCACCAAAAGCACTGCCTCGGATCAACCCTGCTGAGACCTCACGAGATGAGGGCAGTCATTCATTTGGGGCGGTGACATGGCCTAGTGGTGGAAGCGCATTCGTCACTTGTTGTTGGGGCGTGCGATTAAAACCCCGCAGTCCACCCTCGTTATTAATCCATAATTTAAAAAATGTGGATTAGGTAACGTAAATATAAATGTGTCGTTAAACCGCCACCAACCGACACAGGCGATTAGCAAGGTTTGTCACGTTACCAAAACGTGCCAATTAGTTACTACTTCAGCACACCGGTGTGTTGGAGAGTAAACCAACACATTTACAATCGGTATCATGGGACCTTTTTGCCAGTAAAAAAAGTATACAAAAAAATTGGTTTTATCCTTCCTGCCAATAAAGCAGGTGTTAAGATGTTCAAACACCAAATTTAATTGGTTTTGATACCGTTGAAGTGTTATGCAGAACTAATTATTACTGTCCAAGATTAGTTAGAGAATCAATTGACATTGAGAAGAATTTAAATAATTTTAATCGCTGTGATAGCTATAGACTCAGCGCAGCCTGGAGGCAAATTATTAAGTAACACAACACATTTTGCAATTCCTTACAGGTGAGTCACATGCTAAGTGGCTGATTACTGATCTATTACGGTACATAATTGCACACCCCCACCCTCACCTCCGCCTCTCATCTCGAATCCTGATTGGGTTCAACAATGATGACGTCATCCTGCACTATTTAAGACCTGGAAGCAGGAGGTTGGCTTCACTATTCTGCCAAATCGCCCGAAGATGCTGGATGTAATGTTCAGCGAAACATCGTGCTACTCAAATTGTAAATGTTGTGGATCCACTCTTCAACACACAGGCGCGCTAAAGTAGTGGATCTATTTGTCTTTTGCCAACGTGACACATTTTATTACTGATTGGCTGTGTCGGGTGGTGGAAGGTTTGCGACACATTTATTAATAACGCGATCTAACCCAAAAACCTTTATTATTAATAATACTGGTCGCGAAAGCCTACGTGTTAAACCAAATATAAAGCTTCTTCAAGAAATCATGTCCGCATTAACCACATACTTCTGGTGAACATGCAAATAAATATGCCCTGATAATATCTGCATTGTCTTTGACACTGATTGGCTTTGACACTTATTGGCTAATGAAGACTGTCTCTTCATGTAGGCCAATCAATTTCAACGACAATGCATATTTTATCAGAGCATGTGTTTTTTTTCATGCTCACAAGTACGTGTGGTTAATGCAGTTACTTTATTCCTTGAAAAAGGTTTCTATTTGGTTGTATGAACATCTGAACACCCTCCCCTCTTTTATGGCCAGAAAGGGTAAAAGCTATTATTTTTCATATTTACAATCGGAGTACAATGTGGCGTGTTAAACTCACCCTCGTTCATACCGCCGGATTGAATTGAGAACCATAAAATAAATACACACGCCATCTGCTGCACGCTGGACCATGAAAGACGGCGTGATTCTGTTGGGGAGGAGTTGGTCAATTGTGTGCCGGCGTCGAGGTCCAAATAAAAAAAAAGTGTAATCATGTATAACGGGACTGCGGATAACACGCAGCGATTGTTGCCCCGTAGCGCAATAACTTGGCAGGATGGCCCCTAAAAATAAGTCTTGAGACTCGGTGAGAGCTTTCCTGGGGGGGGGTGGTGGTAAGCAAGTGCCAATCAATCAATAACTCGTATTCTGGGTGATATGGTCACGGGGCATTCATAGTGTTGCACGCGAACGAAACACCGAGGCATCCCTGCAATGCCTGAGTGTTAACTGCATCTCCATTGCCACGGAGCTGTTTACGCTCGAGGTCTTTCCGTTTCCCCCATTTGTTACTCATGTGCCCGCCCGAGCACGCTTGTCCGCAGCCGTTATTGCACACGGGAATAATCCTGCACTGCGCTGACTATAACAATAAAAATCATTTATAAAACAGCAATCGTCCGCAGTTGAACGCGTCCGACAAGAGCTCCCGGGGCCATGAGGCACTCAGCCTTCGAAGCCACAGCTGCTCGCGATACAAGCAAAAAGGGGCTCCAAAAAACAACAACAACAACAACAAATCCCGTCACAAGATAACGGGGGCGGCGTGGTGGTACAGCGGTTAGCACCGCACTGCAACTCGGTGAAGTTAGTCGCTCCAGTTTAACCAGGCAAGAGCTCGAAGGGGCGAGGATGGTCTCAATTGGATGCAAGAGCAACTTGGGGCATTAGTCTGCCGCTGCTGTCCACTCTGGCGGATGATGTGGGCGGGGGGTGGGGGCCTTTAACCTTTAACCTCCGTTGCGAGTGGAGCAGGCGGCGGTGCTCTCGCAGCGTTCATGGTCATCGCACGAGAAGCGGCGACGATCATTTGGGGCGACGATCTTTGACCCCGGCGATTAACCGGGCCCGCAGCTGACAAAGAGGCGATGAGCGGTCACAATAGTGACGGGAGACATCCGATCTCGTCCTTCACGAGTCCGCGTCTGCGCGATAGGCATCGTATTAACCGCTCGTCGACTTTGTTATTTAATATTCAGCCACAACAACGCCAACGATTACGTCGCCGATACTTTTGCACCGAACGAGGGCCGGTATATTAAAGAGAGAGAGAGTCGTTGCCGATAAACATCTGGGCGTTCACCGCCACCGATTCAGGCAAGCCCGACTCTGCTGATGAGACACTACGTCAGATCCAGTCCAGAGTTTGCTTGTAACGTGCCGAGTCGATGATGCCGAAATGATTTCACGCCCCCAGAAGGCCTTTGTGGGGCGATGGGTTGTGCAAGAAATACTTCACATTTTGCGTGTAAAGACAGATTTTATGGAGGAGGCATTGTTTGCCTGCTTGTATTGCACCGACGAGCAGGGTTAGCTATTTTCAAGCAACCTCCACGGCCAACAGTGAGGAGGGGGCGGGGGGGGGGGGATTTCATCCAGCAGTGGACTGACAATCTGAACTGTTTTGAAAATTAAGTGGGCTCGTCAGGACACGTCGCTCCAAGGGATGATGGCCACGGATGAGGATTAGCGACAGAGTGGCAGCAGCCAAGGAATGGAACGTGTCCGAGAGGAGGCCTATTGAGGATATAGAGCGACTAAATCAGCTCGTATGTGGGTTCCAGATGGATTATTATATCTGCGGGAGATGTTGGCATCTTTGAAAGGCCTTTGTTCAGCAGTGGATTGATCATGGCTGATAATGATGATGACGAACCATTTTACATTTTTAAGCAATTGGCAAGAACAGCATCAATGAGCCAACATTTATTTTCTAGGGACCTATTATCCCCTCTGGATGACTTAGCAGGGTGTCAGGGGAGCTAAGGGGGGGGGGGGGGTCCACACACATGAGGTGTCATAGGGTGTGATAATGCAAGAGGGGACACCTTTGATGAAGGGGGCCCTCTATCTAAACAATCCTCCACGCTCTCAGTGTACCCCCCCTCCCCCCGTCCAGTGTCGGCACCAAAATAAGCGTGGTCACGAATCGACGCATCGAACGCGCCAAACATCAGAGCGGCACATCAGAGCGGCCCACAGAGCGGCCGACGGAATGAATCAGCCTAGGCAAACACTTTCACCTAATTGGAGATACCCGAAGCGCAACCGTCCACCACATTTATAATGAGAGAAGTTAACCCCTCACACCACCCCCCCTCCCCGGCCATAATCCCTTAAGATATCCGACACACAGTACACAATGCTTAAGGGGAATGAACATGCAGCCCAGCAAGTGTTTGATCGGTGCCACTGCCGACGGAAGGGCTTCCGAAAGAAGGGTAAGCTTTAGCCTCAACACGCACACGCAGAGAGTATTTTTGTCCGACGTTTCAATGCTGGCCAGATATCATGGAAGAGGTGGGAGGGGGGGGAGCTATCCCGACTTTATCTCACAACAGTCTCCGAAGAAGAGAAAATTAACCAGATTCTCCAGATTGTAAGATGCGACGTAAGATGCACCTCGGCTTTATTGGCCGGTGTCAATAAAGGCATGCATATAGTGTCACGAGAACACACACACACACATGCATTGACTGGATTATATGATGAAACCCTAAATTGTAATAAAATACATGGGGGGTGGAAGGTGCGTCTCTTAAACGAGAGAATACGGGAGCAATTTTCTCACCGGCCCTTACAAGCGGTTGATATACGACATACAAAACGCTTACAATGTTTGTCTTTTGCTCAACAATGCACTGGCAAATGGGTGAACATAACGAAACAGGAATACAATAAGTCGGTGACTTTAGAGACACCACA